AGCGCGCCCAACGAATGTTGAACAGCTATTGAGGAGAGTTACAAGGCTACCAAGGAGGCAAATTTATTTGCTTAGCAGGCCATGAGATACAGTTTACGTGAACCACTGGTTCACCAGTGGAACTGCTGGGACTTACCTTGACCTGGACGAAGCGGCGACGGAAGACGCGGGATGCAAGGATAGTTCCGAAGACGTCAATTTGCGACGGGTTCTTGCGCAATTGGTCCAACAGCATGTCGGCACAAATCAGGGTTCCCGTGCGACCCACACCAGCGCTAGAAAAGGATGTCGTGGATGAGAACAGGACAGCCGACAAAACAAAGGATGCATATACCCACTGCTTTAGCATGGTCAGTATCGTGTGGACGAAGAGGTTAACCACATACGCTATGTAACTGTGCTGTTTTAAATGTAGCATTTGAAAAGAAATGAATTAGACTGCGAAATACCACATTGGTTAACCCTAATTTCTGATCCCCAAGCGTACTGCCTGCACATCTAATTCAAGCATGACTGACATGGTACCGCCGGCGTGCCAACAGACGCGCTTAAAAAAGAAAACTAAACTTTTAATGATGGGAGGGCCAGTTTTTAGTGTAATCAGGTACAAGGTTTAATCAAAACTACCTAATGTGGTCCAGCTGGATGCAATTTGTTGATAATTTATTATGATGAGTTAGAGCCGAAGGTAGAGGGTTAATTTTCTTCCTACCTGCAGTGGACAACAGCAGGGCCGTAGGCCTCTGAGAGGGGTTTCTTCTGCCGAATGGTCTTGTAGGTCTGATATAAGTGGTGGAATTCCCCAATGTCCGGTACAGCATGATCAGCCCAGCCGAGAAAATGGATTTGCGTGAATGTCCAGGGCTAAACAAAAAACGGTATAAATAAACAGTATGAGCAAAAATTGCCAAGCACGTCTTAGGCGTAAAGTAGGAAAAGAGGCGATCGCTGAATCCATTTTTTTTTTGGTCTGCGGTTTCAAAGTGGCGTTCAGAGACAATCCTAGATAGGGGTCATCAAATGTAGATCGGGTGGATCCTTTCTTTCACATTGTTCGTGCATGCACTGTTTGAGAGGATCG